ATAATGGAGTGGGCTGACCTGATCACCCCCCGTAACGCCTTCCGAGCTGCAGCCAAACCACAGTGTAATATCACACGTGAGCAACAGCACACCTGTAAAATGTAGTCAAGGATAACTGAAGTCTATCAAATAGTTGAAGTGACTAGTCCCCTAACCCCAATTCTATGTAGTTTCCACTTGTGCCCTCCGCTTCAGTATGTTCTCTGTAAAAAGCTTCAGAGTAACCTGCAACTGTAGATGAGCTTACAATCAAAATGATCCTTATGGGTTCTTCTTCCAGGTGAATGTCCCCTTCCCTGTTGCCATGGCTCCCAAGGACATCATGACCAACTCCCACGCGAAGTCCATCCTTAACTCCATGAACGCTCTGCGCAAGAGCAACACACTGTGTGATATCACCCTTAAAGTGGAGAACACCAACTTCCCCGCCCACCGCATCGTCCTGGCTGCCTGCAGCGACTACTTCTGCGCCATGTTCACCAGCGAGGTAACACTTCGCTGCCAGAAGTGTGTTGTCACTGTCATTTTGCAGTTGTTCTGTGGGAGTTGGAGCAGTCTAGTTTAAACAGTTTGTGCATCAGAAAGTTCTTCACTGTTCGGGGACTGCGAGACAGCGTGGAATAGGGGTCGATAGAGGGAGAGGAGGAGTTTGTGACGGCAATATGTTTTTACTGTAAATGTTTAACTAAATCTACTTTGGCAGAACTGTACTTCTTCGGTCTTGCCATTAAGGATCTTTGAATTAAGTTTCTGAGGGCCTGACTGAAACAGAGTGATGTGTCAGTGGGAGAGGTAAGGCTAAACAGCACAGATCTGAGCCAAACTCAAGAGCTGAGGGACTGGAGGAACTTTGACTTCATTCAATCACTAGAAGGCGCTATTGAGCTGTTGCTCAGGGACCAGATTAAACTTCTGTTTCTAACAGGTGCCAGGCATTTTGTCCTTGTTACCTTCCTTTAAATGAGTGATTATTTTCAAATGCAACAGTCCTAAATAGTAATGACTTTCATTCAACCCACTGAAACAATCTGCATAGTTCTGCAACAGCAAACTGATTCTATTGTTAATGTCAATGATTACGACATCAGGATCAGGCCAAATACCTTTTAATAATAATATTAATCCTTAAACTTATATAGTGCTTTTCAGACCACTCAAAGAGCTTTATGGGTAATGGGGACTTCCCTCCACCAGCACCAATGGGCAGCCCCACCTGGATGATACGACGGCAGCCATGGTGCACCAGTATGCTCACCACAGACCAGCTATCAGTCGGGAGGAGAACAGAGTGATGAAGCCAGTTCAGAGATGGGGATTATTAGGAGGCCATGATTGGTAAAGGCCAATGGGAAATTTGGCCAGGATGCCAGTAACACCCCTACACTTTCCAAGAAATGTCCTGGGATTTTTAATGACCATAGAGGGTCAGGACTTCGATTTTACATCTCATCCGAAGGACAGCACCTTTTTACATTATAGTGTCCCCGTCACTATACTGGGGCATTAGGACTGCAGGGTGAGCGCCCCCTACTGGTCCCATTAACACCTCTTCCAGAGCAACCTTAACTTTCCCAGGAGGTCCCCCATGCAGGTACTGGCCAGCCTCACACCTGCTGAGCTTTAGTGAGTTGCCAGTTGGGAGTTGCACGGTTATGTAGCTTTTAACAATCCTTAAATGACATGGTACATTAAAACTGTATACCCCAGAAATGTATGGTAAGGCAAGGTTCAGAGAGCTATTAATTGTGACAGCAATAACAGATACCTGCTGGATTGCGGACATAAGTATTTCTACCCTTTGAATGAATTTATGTAATCCAGTAGAATGTCACAGCCATCACATAAATGACATGCAATGTACAAACATGATGGCAACGACAGTGTTTATGACATTTTATACATTACTGAGAGATGTAGTTCAGGTGGGCGGCTGCGTCAGCATGTGTAGGCTGCAAAGGAACAAGTAAAGGTTTATTCCCTGCTGAAAAGGGAAGAAAGAAGACACAACGTTTCAGCCGTGGAGCCTTCTTCAGTTGTGAGAAAGACAGGGCAGTAAGCAAAGGTAATGTAGCAGGAGGACAAAAGCTGGGAGAGGAGGGGCGGGAGGCAGGAGGCGGGAGCAGGGGACAGACAGAGTGGCCATTCAGATAATGTGAAGTCAGGACAGGTGAAGAGAGGTGTGAAATGAAACCAACAATGAATAGAGAGAATTTAGAAGAAAATGAGTGTCGTTGAGAGAAGGTGGCTCCACGGCCGAAACGTTGTGTTTTCGTTCTTCTCTTTTCAGCAAGGAATAAACCTATTACTTGTTCCATTACTGAGCGATCTTGTGAGTGATGCAGAGCAACAGCGTGAAAACATTTAGAACAGATCCAGCAGCCTGGGAATTTCTGTAAGGCTGCATCCTCTTCAGCACCAGGATTTATCTGAGCAGAAAAGCACTCTGGTTTGCACTGCCCAGCGTTGTTCCCCACTGCACTGGGCTTTTCCCTGAAGGTGCCCCATGCTGATGCTTCAGTCTTGACCTGAGCTCTAGGCATCGATCTGGAGCAGCGGGACATCTGCTTTGCACTCCAGCTGCATCGCTGTGGATGGATCTGTGCATGGTTTGCTGTCGACACAGCTGGTTTGCTGGTGTTTCTGTCTGCGGCGCTGAGTTTTATTTTTATATTGGGCTGATACAATATGAGATATAATGGCTGTTTCTTTGGGGGGGGGGGGAAAGTGTACCTTGCAAGCAGTTGCCTGCAAATTGCCTCAAGTTGCATCAGCTGCCGCCGGTATGTGAGAGCGCACAGCTGAACTCTTGAAGGCCCTGTCGCTGCTGTGTGCTTGCAGCTCTCGGAGAAGGGAAAGCCTTTCGTGGACATCCAGGGCCTGACGGCTTCCACCATGGAGATCCTGCTGGACTTTGTGTACACGGAGACGGTCCTGGTGACGGTGGAGAACGTGCAGGAGCTGCTGCCTGCTGCCTGTCTGCTGCAGCTGAAAGGTGAAGGGGGAGTGGGGCATGCTGGGATGTGCATGACTGTGTATAGAGTACTGTACATGTCCCAGACACGTGACAGGAAGTCAGTTCGGCATGGGCAAGAACCTGAAAGCAGTTGCATTCTGTAACCTCTTCCTGTTGTGCCGTCACACAATTGGTGCAAGCTGTTAGATTAGTGCAAGTGCATGATTTATTCCCTTTTCTTGTTTTGTGCCATTGCACTCATTCACAGTTATACCACAACCAGTGTACCCAGTGTTGCATTAAATCTTAAAGTAAAAGCTAATTAATAGACAAGGCACTTTTTGAGAGCTCAGAGAGAGAAAGCTGTGTTAATACGGATGTTTCAGTAGAACCCAGATAGTTAAGGTTGCCAGTAATTTGAGGCAATATACAGGTTACAGAGGAACCCATTGATGACTCAGTGCCTGCAGAATGACATGCACATAAAAGAATTGAAACTGGACTGGGGTAGAAACCACCACCAAACAGGTTTATCTTGACCAAGAGATAAAGATGACTTTATCATGAGCCTGGTCAGTACCTGGATGGGAGACCTCCTGGGAAGAACTCAAATATGTTCGAGTTCAAAAGTTCAAGTTCAGTTGCTGCTGGAAGACGTGTTCGAGGGGCCAGTAGGGGGCACTCACCCTGCAGTCTGTGTGGGTCCTAATGCCCCAGTATAGTGACGGGGACACTATACTGTAAAAAGGTACCATCCTTCTGATGAGACGTAAGACCTCATCCTGACTCTCTGTGTTCATGAAAAATCCCAGGGCTTTTCTCAGAAAAAGTAGGGGTGTCCTGGCCAGATTTCTTCCTGGCCTTTACCAATCATGGCCTCCTAATAATCCCCATCTCTGAATTGGCTTCATTACTCTGCTCTCCTCCCCACTGATAGCTGGTGTGTAGTGAGGGTACCGGTCACAATGGCTGCTGTTGCATCATCCAGGTGGGGCTGCACATTGGTGGTGGTGGAGGGGTCCCCGTTACTTGTAAAGCACTTTGAGTGGAGTGTCCAGAAAAGAGCTATATACTGTAGGTGTAAGGAATTTATTATTATTATTATTATTATTATTATTATTATTATTATTATTATTATTATTATTATTAAGGTGAACCTCTCAGTGTCCAACAGCCTGTCATGGAACAGCGAGGTTCTGTTCTGCAAGGGTTGTAGACATTTTCATTGGCGCCCCACTTGTCGGCGGAGCGGTTCCGAGAGAACAAACCCGCGCTCATGCTCGCTTGCGTGCGTTTGTCCCCCCCCTCCCCCGGGGGCGCAGGCGTGAAGCAGGCGTGCTGCGAGTTCCTGGAGAGCCAGCTGGACCCCTCCAACTGCCTGGGGATCCGGGACTTCGCCGAGACGCACAACTGCGTGGACCTCATGCAGGCGGCAGAGGTGTTCAGCCAGAAGAACTTCCCCGACGTGGTGCAGCACGAAGAGTTCATGCTGCTCAGCAAGGAGGAGGTGGAGAAGCTCATCAAGTGCGACGAGATCCAGGTGTGCAGCCCCACGCTCGCGGAGGGGTGACCCCAGCGCTGTGTGCGTGCCAGGGAAAGGCTGTGTAGACATGCAGGTTTTAAGAGCAGCATGTGCCTACATAAATTGCAGGAAGCTGAAAAACAACACAGTCAATGGTGTTTTAGTGCTGATTATGAGCCTATGCAGCCAACAGCCATATAACCCTGCAGCTCTCAACTGGCTACCCACCAAAGCAAAGCAGGGTTGAGCCTTGCCAGTACCTGGATGGGAGACCTCCTGGGAAGCTATGGTTGCTGCTGGAAGTGTTGTTATTTGGACCAGTGGGGGGTGCCCACCCTGCGGTCTGTGTGGGTCCTAATGCCCCAGTATAGTGGCGGGGACACTATACTGTAGTGGGCGCCGTCTTTCGGGTGAGAGGTTACACCGAGGTCCCGACTCTCAGTGGTTATTAAAGATCCCCGGGCATTTCTCAATAAGAGTAGGGAGTTATCCTGGTGTTGAGGCCAAATTTCCCCTCTCAGCCTTTACCCGTGGCCTCCAAATTGTCCCCAGGTATGATTGGCTTGCACTTGCCCTGTGATGGACTGGCGCCCTGTCCAGGGTGTACCCTGCCTTGTGCTCGTTGCTTGACGGGTACGCTCCGGCTTCTCGTGACACCGTGTGGTATAAAGCGGTTTGGCAAATGCCATGATATGAGTCTATGCATGCCTGCTCATGATCAATACTAAACCAACTTATTAATCTTATTGTTATCCAGCTTACCAGCAGGAACCATCTTATTATTGTTCACCAACAGCAGGCGCTTGATCAGAGATGGCAACTTGTAAAGCCTGAAAGCCTGATCACTGTGCTTTGCAATGAGAAGCATTCTTGTGAATCTGCTGCACACTGTCCACCAGTGTGGCTCCAGAAAGCCTCTTCAGCTCATCAATTTCAAGATGCAGTGTAGAGAGCAAAAGGGAAAATACAGAAAAGAGGCAGTCCTACTGTTTGTTTTGTGTTCATTTCCATCTTGCAAGAACAGGCAACTTTCAACAGCCTCATTCCGGCATGGTGAAAGTTAACAATGAAATAAATTTGGAGTGACTCAGAAGACAACTGAACAAAAAGACAATTGGACAAAAAGATTGTGGCTTGGTGTAGGCGGTCTGTGGAAATTCTGTGGTAAGTGCAGTAGTGGGCGCTTCTCAGTGGGCTGAAATCTCTTTACCTCTTTATGTCGCTGGCTATTTGTACTGGTTTGTGCTAACCTCCTGGCGTGCAGTACTTATTTCCTGTGTAGTTTTGGCTGGTATTGAAGTTGGGGCCCAAACGTTGTCTTACTAATCAGGCTCTGTCCATCCATTCAGCTCTCTGTATTGCAGAGCTGATGTTCAGCTGCGACAGCAAAAGTAGTAATATACTGTAGCCTATATCTCTACTATGATAGTGTGTAAGAATATCTTATCTTCTGTGATGAAAGTTGAGCAACAGTTAGAGTATACCTCAGAGAGATGCATGTTTCCAAATAATGTGTATTTGCCTTCCCAAATTAGTGAGTAGCCCCGTTTTAATATTTATTTGTATATATGCACATATGAATGTTTTTGTTTTATCCACTTAGGACTGTGATTCCAATTTGAAGTGCAGGTTTATAAGTCGTGCTGTCAGAATGAATCATGGGGGAAGAGGCAGCCCAGTGGAATCTGAACCGGCAGCATGCCTATCTCTCCTGCCTCATGCATGTTTGTCGAGGACATTCCATTCTTTACACTTCGGTGCCTTCCCAGAGAAATCCAGGCATCTTTCATGTACAACATACTCAGTTCCTGGAAAGCTTGCTGGCTTATATTCTTTGTTCTGGCTTGAGTAGTCAATTAAACAATTAACCACATTATTTTCTCATTTAGTGCAACATGGTGGCACAGTGGTTAGCATTGGTGCCTTGGAGCACTGGCACCCTTGGTTCAGTTCAGGACCTGGGGTGCTATCTGTGTGGAGTTTGTCTGCTGGTGTGAGTGTATGTGTCTGTGTGTCTGCCCTATGATGGGCTGGAGTCCTGCCCTGTCCTGTATGCCTGCACGAGCCTGAGTTGGATGAAGCATTAGAAAACGGTCTGGTGGGTAGATCCCCGATGTAGAATGATGATCCTTCCAGGCAGTTGATGTACCCTCAAGGTGTGACAGCTTGTCATTTCTTTGCTATTTGTCATTTCTTTGGTATGTCCCAGCACAGCAAGCTGCTTCTTTTTTTTTCGAAACATCTGCCAGGTGGACTCGGAGGAGCCGGTGTTTGAGGCCGTGCTGACCTGGGTGAAGCACTCGCGCAAAGAGAGGGAGCCCTTCCTGCCAGACATGCTGCAGTACGTCCGCATGCCCCTGCTCACCCCCCGCTACATCACCGACGTCATCGACACTGAGGTGGGGTCTCTGGGCGCGCCAGCGCGTGTTGTGACAAAACCGCCGGGCGTGTCGTGACGTGAGCTATCCAGTAGGCAGGTCCATGTCGACAGCCACACGGCTGCAAGGTTCAACGAAACCAAGTGCTCTTTTTATTTATGGTGTGGGGGGCGGGGGAATCAAACTACACCACAACCGAAAACAAAAGCCAAAGCTCTTTTGAGCTCTTGTCTACACTTCTTTTTTAATTCACGAACTAAAGTGGCAGAGCAGCTAAATTGCTTACCAGCCTTCAAATAAACAGTTCTTAGAACCCATCTCTTCTTACAATTCTTCCATCTGAACAAAGTCTGTCTCTCTGAGACTCTTCACCAAATTTCCAAAACTCAGTTCTTTTATTCGTCATTCAGTCCTCCTCCCTCTGCCAAGTGGTGCATGCAGGGGTTCTAAGTTCTGCCCCTTCGGACAACAGACATCCACTCCCCCTGACTGCGCGTGAAGTGTACTATTCCTGCTTTTTAAACAGTCAGCTGACCAGCTGGCCTCCTTCTGCTGGTCAGGTGACAGAGCAGCAGCTTGTTCCCCCAGAGGGTTCTGGGGAATGTCATCCTGGCAGGGCTGTGCTCTCATAGTGTTTAAACAGAGGACTGACTGCTCCTCCTGACTGCTCCTGCTTGGTCAGTCATCCAGAGCTCAGCCTGTGGGAAACACAGCAAAACAGATGGGTCCATTTCAGGTTTTCCCTTTCCCAGACTCCTGTATAGGTCAAAATGATGAAGCAGAAGGCTTATTATGATTTAACTCCTTGTGGCTATTTATGCAAATTCACTCTCTGTAAGGTAGTGAACCTCAGATGCCCAACACCTGTTTTCAGCATTGGCATATAAATCCCAGAATGCAGTGCAGTGCAATAAGAGCCTTATTTCAATTTTTGAATTGATAGGAGGGATTCCTTGACAAGTAACACTTGCTTCTTGTTAAGTAGGGCTTCTCTAGTGGTCTCCTTGGGCTGGGGCAGACTGCGATTGGGGGGGGGAGGGGGGGAGGGGTTTCTTCTCTGGACCCAGGCCAGCCACCCCTGTCCTGTCCCAGCCCTTGATTAGATGCAGTCTGCAGTGCAGAGACCTCGTCGACGAAGCCAAGAAGTTCCACCTGAGGCCAGAGCTGAGGAGCCAGATGCAGGGGCCTCGCACCCGTGCTCGACTAGGTACTGCACCGTTACGATTTAGAAAGTCAAGAACGAGAGGGCAGCCTTTTGGGAGTTTTTCAGGGTCACTCCTCTGTGGCCCCAGACTAGTTAACCGAGAGGCCCACTGTGGCCAGACTGACCAACTGTATTAACTGTAACTACAGGAAGAGAAAAGTAAGACTCATTTTAAAACTTCAAAGTTAAAAAATAAATGCTGTCTACTGCTTTTAAAGGGTCTTTGATGTTGTAGAAGTCTGGCTATGGATATGTGGCCTAATGATTGTGTAGCACAGACGTAGGAAGTTGATTATTCAGTTTTTCCTACCCTGAGTTTGAACTCTGTGTCCCTGAGATTGCAGGTTTAGATCCTGGCTTTGCCACTCTGGGAGTGTAAGCCAACCACAGACTGGGGAAGCTAGCCAAGGGATTGTCTTGATGTGACCATCTGAGTGTACTTGTGGGACCAACATGACACTATTGTGACCCAAGGCTCTCTGCCATTTTCTCAGCTGATCAGAAACATTACAAAACAAATTGCCTCGTCTAGTGTCAGCTTGAGGCAAAACAAAGGCAGTGGAATCACATTAATCTGTGCCTGACAGCACACACTTCTGTGCTCTGACAGGAGCCAACGAGGTCCTGCTGGTGATTGGAGGCTTCGGAAGTCAGCAGTCTCCCATTGACATTGTAGAGAAATATGACCCCAAGACACAAGAGTGGAGCTTCTTGCCAGTAAGTACCTCCTGGTTTAGTTACTAGACTGCTCATGGGCTGGAGTCTCTTGCATAATAGCGAACACTAAGTGCTAGACATTTCACATGTCTTGTAAATGTATTTAAAAAACCTAACAACAGATGTTTTCAAAAGGAGGGATATTTTCGTTAGTGATTCGTGTCTTTTTGTGAGCAACAGTAAGTTTTTTTTGTTTGTTTTTTTCTTTTTGCTGACGTAAAACAGTAGCATTTTGAATCTTTATTTGTAATCTTTTCAAGTAAAATAATTTAAAACAGGAAGAAGTATTTTGTATGCTAGTTCCTTCATTTTAAGAAAGCAAAACATACCAGCAGAAAACCATTGGTTTGTAAGGTTAGGTTAGGGATTGGACCTAGTATTAGGGTTAGTGTTGAACATCAAGGTTAGGCTACATGTCATCTGTGATCTCTCAGGTGGTCCAGGATTAGAGAAACACATTTGTATCATTAGTGAAACTGGATCCGATTGCCTGTAAAATCTGGAAGGGATCAAACTGGTCTGCAATAGGAACCTGATATTCTACCTTGAACGAGGAGTGAAGACCTGTAGGAAAAGGTGATTAGATACTTGAAGTTTTCTGCGTGTACTGGTTTCCAGAAAAATATTGAAAGCCATATTTTGTGCCCAGTAAAAATCCATCGAAAAAATCTTCCAATTTACCTTCCCCTCTCTCTGGCACACTGGGGAAGGGAAGGATCCAGCAAGTCATGGTTCGGTTTTAAAAACGTCCACAGTGGTTCAGAATGCTGCCTCTCCCTGACGACACCCAGCTGAGCAGCGTGTGGTTCTCTCTCCTGCGGCCCCTCTGCTCCCGATCGTTAGTGACGGGGCTGGTCTCGCTGATACCTGCAGAGCGTAACCCGGAAGAGGCGCTACGTGGCCACAGTGTCCCTGAACGACCGTGTGTATGTGATCGGAGGGTACGACGGGCGCTCGCGACTCAGCTCCGTGGAGTGTCTGGACTACACCGGCGATGAGGACGGGGTCTGGTACTCGGTGGCGCCCATGAACGTGCGCCGTGGCCTGGCAGGCGCCACGACGCTGGGAGGTGGGCCCACCCTCGCCTTAGTCGCTGAACACACGCGGCCAGGAGAGGCAAGCTTTGTGAGATTGTAATGCGCGCTGTTATGCTCTGAAGGCCCACAACTTCTTTACTAATGATTTTGTGAACACGACACAGAATGTCCCACTGTCTATTTCTAAATGGAATCTAGTTAAAAAGTACCACGATTTCCTCTCTGAGGGGAGAACTGGTAATTTGCTTATTATGGCTTTCAGGTCAGGCGGCATGGTTGCCAGTGTGATTACCAATACTGCCGCGCAGCACTGGGAGCCTAGGATAACTTTCTGGGGTCCTGTCTGAACAGCGTTTGTATGTTCTCTCCATGTTTGTGTGGGTTTCCTCTGGTTGCTTTGGCTTCTTCCCGCACAGTCCAAAGACATTGGCTCCTGGGAAGATTGGCCCTGGTGTGAGTGTGTGTGCCTGTCTGTGCTCTGCGCTGGATTGGCATCCCATCCAGGATATGTGGATCCAGGTTGACCTTGTGCCAATTGATTGGCTCCCCCGCACCTGGTACTGGATAAAGCAGTTAGAAAATGGATGGATAGATGGATGGGTTTTCAGTCCATTATAATTGCAGATGAACAGATTCTCACAGTCAGCTGCAGAACAATACTCCATATTTACAGCATGGGCAGGGGCTCGGGACAAGGCCTTTTTTCTCCTGTTAATGCCTGCAAGCAATCTTGTTCTGAAATTGGAACACCGCATAGCGTCTTCACGTGGACTTTTGTCAGAGCTGGACGTGGCTCGTCCGTACCCCAGCCCAGCGCTCATCTGCACTCTCTGCCGGCAGACATGATCTACGTGGCGGGGGGGTTTGACGGCAGCCGGCGGCACACCAGCATGGAGCGATACGACCCCAACATCGACCAGTGGAGCATGCTGGGAGACATGCAGACTGCCAGGGAGGGAGCTGGGCTGGTGGTGGCCAATGGGCTCATCTACTGTCTCGGTGCGTCTGACACTGCCCGGCTAGTACTGTATCTTCACTGCAGAAAATGAGCCATTATTAAGGAGATACTGTTTATAGCATATCGACATATATATATATCTTGACACGTTTCCTACTGGAAGATTTGTCAGGGTAAAGAAGGAGGTTTATGATGACTGCTCTTCAGTACACGCTAGGTTGTTAATTTGCTGTACTTGTTCTCTCGCTTTAAGCTCTCTGAAGTGATGTCTTCAGTAGCCGTTTCTGGTTGTATAGTTAGTAATCGTGGCACACTGCCTGAAGAAAAGCAAAACAAAATATGGTCTGCATCTGCGGTGCTAAGAAATAGACTAAGAGTACGTTTAACCTTGAGAGGAGGATGGTGTGAGGATGTGGTTGTTGCTGTGGTTTTAGGAGGGTACGATGGCCTGAATATCCTGAGCTCAGTGGAGAGGTATGACCCACACACAGGACACTGGACCAACGTCACCCCCATGGCCACCAAGCGCTCAGGTCAGTCAGCTGCTTCCTTCAGTACTGCATGCAGAAGCCTTTTCTTTACAGTGCGCAGATGTCAGTTCTTCTTTGTTTTTGTTTTTGAAATAATCTTTTGAACTTAATACATTAAATGTGAACCTCAAGTGCATACAAGTGGTGGACCACCGAAGAGCTTGAAGAGCTCAGTCTCTATATTCAAGAAATAAAGATCTCTGCAGGCAAGGTGGTTGGTGTTCTTGTCCTGGCTACTTACCATAGCACACCAGGAGGGTGTGCACACTCATGCCTTGGACCAGTGAGTGAAAGGCCCTTGTGTGTGTGTGGCAGGGGCTGGAGTGGCCTTGCTCAATGACCACATCTTCGTGGTGGGAGGTTTTGATGGTACAGCACACCTGGCGTCGGTGGAAGCTTACAACATCCGCACCGACTCCTGGACCACTGTCACCAGCATGACCACGCCGCGCTGCTACGTAGGCGCGACGGTCCTCCGGGGTAGGCTCTACGCCATTGCTGGGTAAGGACTCGGGCTAATGAAGTTAAATGTCATTAATATGGCTAGACCGTATTGTCCAGCGGTGCATCCCAAACACTCGTGTATATCCCAGGTGTTTCAAATATTTGTCTTGCACACTATTAACCTAAGTGAAAGTCAAACATCCATGGGAATATATTATCTGGTATATGCATACAGTTGGACAACATAGTGGTACATTGGTTAGCATTGAAGCCTCACAGTGCTGCGGCTCTAGGTTGAATTCTGGACCAGGGGTGCCATCTGTGTAGAGTTTGGATGTGTTCCCTGTGTTCATGTGGGTTTCTTCTGGGTACTCCAGTTTGCAAAGACATACAGGTAGGTTGATTGGCTTCTGGAAAAACTAGCTCTGGTGTGAGTGTGATTGTTTGTGTCTGCACCTGCCCTGCGATGGACTAGCGTCAGGTCCAGGGTGTCTCCTGTCTTGCAGCCGGTGCTTTTCGGGATAGACTCCAGCTCTCCTCCGCCTTGAATTAAACGAAGCAGATAGAAAATGGATGAATTTGCCAAACACCTGCCGAGTTATCAAGTTCCTTTCTCTTCATAGTAATATTTTTCTTAAACCAATGCTGAGTCTTAACATTCTTCGATAATGGATCTGACTTGATGGTGAATTAAAGGATTAGAGAAATGTTCACATCTGCTACATTTTGAGCCCTGCAATTGTACAGCATTTGCATACATCATTAGCAGGGCATGGTGCTCTGTGGCATTGCTTTGTTCTTTGTAATCCATCCTTGAGCTGATGGGGTAACACATACTGTACCTGACATTTACTGTATGTGCCTAAGTAAGTCTCAACAGTGTTGTAGAATAGAGTGAATGGCATCCTCATGTTCCCCCACTAGGAATATGCCAGGCAACATAAAATGCCAAAGGCACTTCAGTCTCATACCCTTAGTCAAGCATTTTAGCTTCGCCTTGCTACTGGTCGGCCAATCCTTTTCAGCCGTTTCTGCCGTGACTTGGTAAAATCTAGATTGCACTTGGCAAATGGTTTCAGTCTTAAAACTGCAGAACCACAGAAAACTCTGTACCTTATTCTGGATCTGTATGTGTCACCAGATTGGATTTTTCTTTTGTTTCATGGAAGAAGCAATGATCCATGTTTATAACAGATGAAGATATTGGTAATAATGTGTTAGATCCAGCAGTCCCTTTTGTTTCCTTGTCCTGGGTTTCAAGGAAATAAATAAAAATATTGCTAAGAACCATTAGGGGCTTCAATAGTTTGGCTCCTGCCTTCATCAGTGAAATGTTAACTCTTTATACTCCACAGTGTACTTTTTGACCTTTCAGTTTCCAGTACCAGCCTCCAAACAATGGGAGACCAGGTGTCTGTTGAATTTCTCCATAGCTCATTAATGATCTCCCACCATATGTCAGATCACGCAAGTTAGTTAACATTTAAAAATGATTCATTCTGGTTATTATATTGTATTAGTTTATATACTGTCTATTTGTTTTTGCCTCTACCTTGCTGCACTGTACAGACGTTTTGAGATGGTGTCATGAAAGGCTCTATATACAATAAAATGACTCCTTTCCTCCGGCTCTTCCAGGTATGATGGGAACTCTCTCCTCAGCAGTATTGAGTGCTATGACCCTGTCATCGACAGCTGGGAGGTGGTGACCTCAATGGCCACCCAGCGCTGCGACGCAGGCGTGTGTGTTCTGAGGGAGAAGTGAGCTGGCCTGGGCAGTGCCCACAGACTGGGCGACACCAGGGGGAGAGAGACTGGCAGCGTCACAGCTGAGCAACTCGCATAGGAGAGGGAGGAAACCCTGCCATCCCACACCAGTTGGGTTGTCACAGCCCCCTGCTCTGTTGGGTCATCAGCTTCCTTCATACAGTTCTGTTGCCACTGTGAGATGCGCTCATCCTTCATCTGTGTACAGGGCCGGAATGGAAGTGTTCATATTTGCATTGTTTTTCATTTTCGAGTCAAAAGATGCAGCTTCTCATTGTCCTCCGTGCATGAATGCCATCGCTGTGATCCACCTGGTTCTTCTCAGTATGGACTTACATGATGTAAGGTTTGTTTAAAGTGCAATATTTTACTGCTAATCCACTGCTGGACTTCACACAGAGCCTTATACCTTCGCACACAGCTGCTCACAGCCCTGTGTGCTGGGGGAGTGGAGCACAGTGAGGCCCCCGTCTTCAAATCATGGAGATTTTTCTCTCAATCATGTGGGCAACTTTGGTATCAATCGGATGCTGGCTTGTCTGTGAAAGAGAGTTCCACCTTACTTGAAGGATACCTGTCGATTGTCATTTCTGTTGTGTTTGTGTGGAAGAGAGTAGATCAAAAACAATAAACTGTTTTTGCTTAAATAAACTATATCCCTTCGTTCTGTGATTCAAGCTATTGTTTTTCTTAGCTGCAATTAGTGAGATACACTTAGCTGGTGAAACTAGAAATGAACATTTCTAGACTAGCTTTGCAGGGAGGAATGGCATTTCTAAAGATGCCAACCAATTTAGATGTTATCAGATAAGCCGGTTATGTATTAAAGAAACTAATTTAGGAGAGTTTAAGATCAAATTCTACGTGCTTAAGGATCAGACCAGTCTTAAACAGATTATTTTCCTAACTCAGGCTGATCTATAACAGTGGTTCCCTTTTCTGAATTGTGAGGTACAGCTGTGTCTATTAGATTTTGTCCAAGCTGTGCGTTGAGTTACCTGAACTAATTGATGCCTTTAACTGAATCGTTTGCTTCTGTAGACTCCAGCTGTTTACCTTTCACACTCCTAAAGGGGGGGATTCTGAAATTCAGAAAAGGGTACCAATTAAAAATACCATTCAGCATTTCTGAGAGAGGGCATTCTAGTGATCTGTCCCTGCTCCTGGAAATCCCAACTTGAGGGTCACTCCTAAATCGCCTATTTCTAAAGATTTGGAACAGTTTAATTGGGAGCAGTTAAGTTGGTGGTATGCCAATTTAAGTAAATTAGAGATTATTATAAATAATATATTGTTATAGCTTTAGGTGACTGAAAAGTATCTCTTAGATTTTAAATAAAGTTTGTGACACCTGGAAGAGTAAACACTAGCTTCAAAGCAGAGAGGATGTTTACTGAAGTCTGGGGGGTCCCTTCAGCAAAAACAATTGTAAAGTTTATCTTGGTATACCTAGGTAAGTTGGGTGTTAATGATTATCAATGAGCAGTATAGAAACACACAATATAAGATCACATTAAGAGCACAGAGAACAAAGAAGAAACAAGAAGCAGGTAAGAAGGAGAGGCGAGACAAGAGTCCAGAGAAGTTGTGACTTAAAGTCGCCAGTTGAGAGCCCCTACTTCATAATCATCCAAACCAAACCTGACTGGATCTAGATATTAGAACCTTGCTAGAGAGAGCATGCTATTCTGTGTTTTTAGGGAACCTGGGTTTCCTGAATAAAAGATACCTCAGTTAGAAACATCTTTCCTGCTTAGGGTGCATGTTGTGGATAGGGATATAGGCTCCCATTTATTTTGTGGCATCCAGTGTGCAGAGAGAGAGATTTAACTGCAGGTTGTGTTGTATTTAGTAAGAAGGCAGCTCATCTCTTATGTGGCCTCTGTAGGCATTAAGAGTTTAATGCTTAGTAGCAGTCTGGGGTTTTCTGGGTGACCAGAATGTCAGGTCTCTGAAACACCTTGTTTGTAAATACTGTACATAGAGTAACTTGTGTGTTGTATGTTTTGTTGTGTGTAGTGTAGTTTGTCTTGTCATTGTAATAAATAGTTGTTTAACCAAATGTGCCTGGATTGTTACTCCTCTCGACAAAGCTGTACAAGAAAATAAAGAACTCGCGTGCTCGGGTATATTCTAAAGAAATCACATGTTGGGGGCTATGAATAATTATTTCACTCATTTACTAAACCACTCGGTCAATTCCTCATTTTCACCATTTTCGTAAGCAACCTTTTTATAACTACGTACAATTCAGTTCTTAAGAACCATCCATTCATTTTCTTACCATTGTAGCTCACGGGGCAGGGGAGCAGATCTTAGGATATATTCACTCCAATAACCAAACTTGCAGGTTCATGCAATTGAATGTGATCCCTTGTGTTTTGCTTTTGTAATGCAATTGCCGTTGAGTACGTCGTTATAAAAATGTCATGGTTTCCTCCATGCAGCCTCGATGTGGACGGTCATTCACCTAAACTTTTAAGATTAACACAAAGAAATTGTATTCCTGTGCAAAGCGGAACGGTCAATCTTCTGTTTTTTGTTTCCAGTCGGAGGGAAGCCGAAATGGTCCGCCGTGTCTTGGTCTAGCTTCTCCGTAACAGCTGTGCCGATTCATTAGAATGGGGTCAGTTAGATGGGGGTGAAAAACTGTTATTAACAAGGAAAAAAACTGAGCTGCAGGGGAAACAAGACCTCTGAGCACTTAGGTGGGTGTCCAAGTAAAGATATATTGGGGCCTCCTCAGACGCTTGCCGGCTAGGTGTCTGAAGTGCTGTGGCTGTTTAAGGAAACGAAACACCGCCCGAAGTGAGATCCAGGTGCTGAAACCGTGCCCTCGCAGGCGACGTCTCCAGTGCGGAGGAGCAGATGGAAAGCGGGGAGGCGGGCTCGCCGGATCGGTCCGGACTGGTGTCGGAGGACGGGAAGAACACGAAGACGGTTCTGTGCCAGCGATGCGGCTCCAAGGTTTTGTGTCCGGGCATGGCGCTGTTCACAGAGAAAGAGGTCGGTTGCATTTTTTTGTATAGTTATTGTAGGCATTGGAATTGTGTGTAGTACTGGAAGCTGTGACCACGACGTGGTTCATGGATGCGCTTTTAGCTTTTAATAAGACGGACAGTTAGAGACCTATAAGAGCCGCCGGGCAGTGGCCCGTGGCTCCCCTGACGTCAGTGAACCCAAACTTTAACGGCACTCCGCTGTGGGCTGGTAGGAAAAAAGGATGAAACGACAAATTCACAAGATCATCTCATTTCGAAATCAGACACGACGGAGATGTTGCTTAATTTCACGGAAAGGTACGGCCTACAATAGCTTTAAATGAACAATGTCCGACAAGATGGGAGAATTAAGGAAGGGTCCGGACATGTTATAGATGTGAATGAAATGAAAGTGGAGATAAAGCTTTTCTAGGGGCTTCACACGGAAAGCGTGGTCTTCATTCAAGTGCAGGGAGTAAAAAAGGTGACAGCCAGCCTTAATGGCTGTTTATAAAAAATGACTGTCAATGAAGATATCTGTATAAGCCTATTTGAAAATAGTAATAGTTCATTTCTGGTAAAGTTCATTTGTTCTACTAGCAGTCCTGAGTGCCCGTCACTCTGGTTGGGTGTCTCCTGACTGGGTACCCCTCTGTCTAGCTGGGGGACCCCTGACTGCCTGGCTCTCCTCTCTGACTGAGTACCTCTCTTTGAGGCTAGGTGTCTCCTGACTGGGTACCCCTCTGTCTGGCTGGGGGACTCCTGACTGGGTACCCCTCTGTCTGGCTGGGGGACTCCTGACTGGGTACCCCTTTGTCTGGCTGGGGGAGTCCTGGCTGCCTGGCTCCCCTCTCTGACTGAGTACCTCTCTTTGAGGCTAGGTGTTTCCTCACTGGGTACCCCTCTGTCTAGCTGGGGAACTCCCGAGTGAGTAGCCTTCTGTCTTCCTGGGGGACTTGTGGCTGGGGACCCCTCTGTCTAGCTGGGTATCTGGTTGGGGACCCCTCTGTCTAGCTGGGTATCTCTCCTGACTGGGTACCTCCCTGTCTAGCTGGGTGTCTTCTGACAGGACACCCCTCTCTCTGGCTGGGAGCCCCTCTCTCTGACTGTGTGCCCCCTCCCCTCTCTGGCAGCTGTTCCTGCCCTCCATGCGCAGGAAGCCCGGGGCTCCCAGCGGCTCGCAGGAGGAGGGCGCGATGGAGGGGGATGTGCTGCGAGCCCACTGGCTGGTGGATGACATGTACACCTTCGAGAACGTGGGCTTCACCAAGGAGGTGGGCAAGGTGAAATACCTGATCTGTGCGGACTGCGAGATCGGGCCCATCGGCTGGCACAGCCTGGACGACAAGAAGAGCTTCTACGTGGCGCTGGAGCGGGTCACGCACGCGTGAGTGGCCTTGCCGCGGGACGCGGAGAGGGCAGCTGTGACGCCCGCTGCGCGTGTGCAGTCTGGGGGGAGTGCCTTCTCTCTCGGGTGACCTGGGGAACGCGCTGGCCACACCAACGCACGCAGCCGGAGTCGCTCCCGGTGTTCTGATTGGCTTTACAGTCGCTAAAAAGTCCCGATCTAGCGCGAAACAACACAGATCCGGGCAGGATGAGATCTTTTTTTTTTTTCTCCAATGGCGATTCAGTAAATGACTTTCTCGGGAGCTAGATGAGGAAACAAGGAGCCCATCTGGAGGGGGTGGAGCAAAATGTATGAAGCAATAGTTTTTCACACAACTTTAGCTGCATTTTATTTGAACCTTCAATTACCAGGATGTCTTGAGGCTGCAGCATAGGGGTTAGTTAGAACTGTAAACTGAGAGTATTGTAGTATCTAACAAGATTAACTGTGTATATCGGAGAGCAGTGATTAATGTTGCATGCGCTAACCACTTGTCGGGCTAACCGGTATTTGCTTTATCTGTTAGGCATCAATATCGAGGAGTCTTATTATAGAGGACATGAAATGCACCATTCTGTATTGTTTCATTATGTTCTTCTGTAAGTTCTTTTTTTATACGATTCTGTTGTGTCTAGTTTCTGGACAGGCTGTAGAAAGTGGAAAAAAGCTGATGTGACTGGGGGACGGCCAGAACCAGCTTTTTTGGGTGTGCGGTGCTCCATCAGTGGGTTTCTAAGCTCGGCACAGTGCTGTTTTATTTGCCCCAATGCCCATAATAGAAGGAGAGTTGCTTTTAGCAGAATTTGATGTAGAATGGCCATCAAATGTAGGCATTCATCGCACCGAAGACCCTTGTGTCCAGTCCTGGCCCTGGAGGGCTGGCGTGTCTGTAGCGTTCCATTCCAGCTCGGCTCTTAACGACCTTGGCTTGATAATCAGACCCATTTAACTGCAGATGTAGGTGCTTTAAAGAGACCAAGAAGTCCTGCAAACACGCCGGTCCCCTCTCGACTGGACCAACCCTGGGTTTTGGAGCACCGCACACCCCATCGGACAAGTGATAAGGAAATTCTGTAGATAAATTCCAAGGTTATCGTCCACTTTCATTTTTATGAATTCCCATTTAAAGGTGCCTGTATTATGATTGCTTGTTATTCCTTTCGTACACCTTAAAGACCACAGCATGAATATGTAAAGGATGTACAGTAAGTGGTGGGGACGGTGCTGGCCTACAGTGCTGATACTCCTGGGAGCTCAGGACAGCCTCTGGATGATGACGCAAGCAGGGCGTGACTCCCTGAGACCAGGTCTGCGCCTGGCCCAGTCCAGTCCAGGCTCAACAGCAGATGGAACCAGGCTTCAGCAAATCTGGACCCACCTGCTTTCCACTTTTCCTCTGGACTCTGCCCTCTCCCACCCCCCGAAAACCAGCGTCGGTGTGTCGTACCCGTGTTGGAGAAGAAAATTAAAACTTTTTGTTTTGAGTAACACGTGTGATATTGTTTCTTTTTTTTCTGTTTGAGGAGAGTTCCTTCAGGTGTTTTCGTTTCTTTAAGAAAATAGGAAAGTGTGCAAATGATAGAAAATGGTATGATTCATCCTGGTCATTTGGTTGCTATTAGCTTATTAAGTGAGAATCATTGTCTAGTCATTTCTCGTAAGGTCTTTTAGATTAGCTGGGTTGCTGGTTCATACATTAGCACACACTAGTAGTTCAAGTAGGTCTAGCAAGACACCTGAAGAAGGCTCCATGGCCGAAACGTTGGGTTTTCTTTCTTCTTTTTTACAGCATGGAATAAACCTATTGTTCCGTTTGAGTAGATAGTTGCTTGAACATAATCTAGAATACACTGGTCACTTTGGTCGGTGCCCTTGCTTCAGTTTTGATCATTAAATATTCCTATGGACGGTGTTTGTCAGTACACATCAGGATTTTTACTGGTACTGTAGTCCTTGTCATCTCCGGTGTCCATACTGAAGAGAGAAAGATCTTCTAAATGGCTTGTATGTGGTACGCCTTTTGACCAGGAATTCATCTGTTTGCTCTTGAGTTTTTTCTAGGCCAGTGTTGTCCTTTTTGTAACCTGGAAATCCAAAACTGAATGCAATATTTGAGATCTGAGCTGTGGGTTCTATGGTCGTACCATACCTTCGATTTGAATACCACACTCTTCACTATGTCTTAACTTTTGTTTTTTTTTATTTAGCTGAAGACTGTAACAAGCCAACATAAACACCTAATAGTTGATGTTGGCATCTCTGTAAGAGTTGTAATTTGTCATCTGTCAGCAAGTTGACAGCTGCCCCTACAGCATTATGGAGCAGCCTGTCCGCAAAATATCCAAACGCTTCTGAATGCCTGCTGGACGGCAGTCTTTCAGAAGGTCTTGTAAAGTGGACAGAGTGCCCTTCTCTCGTCGTCCTTTGTTGCCAGTGAAACTCTAATAGTCTTCATGCGCAGTGGGGGGACTTGTGTCTATTCTGTGTGGGATGTGTATTCTTCTGTTTCAGCTGGCTCTCCTTGGTTGATCTTGGATGTGTTGTTCCTGTGTTTTAATCGGACAGGCTGCTCTGCGCAGTGTCTCTAGCTAGCAGGTATGTACGTGTTTTTCCTTTGCTGTTTAAGTTACTGTCAAGGCGAGGGACTCAGCCAGGCTGATAAAGCACAGATGCGGCTCACATGCCCAGTGTCCCTCCCCGGCGTCGAACTCGCCGCCCCGCTCTCCTCTTGCTGTGCCTGTAGGGCACCCTTTGCCAGTTTTGCTGAGATTGTTTGCTGTGGCAGTTGTCTTCATCGGCACGGCCAACAGTTCCCAAAGCCCGAAGAGGAGTAACAGACCAGACTCTGGACCCGCTGCTTCTTGTTATACCCTGAGTTGGAATAAGACGTGTCACCATGTGCCATTCTTGAAACGGAACAGTCTTGTCTGCTGACTCGCTCATCACAGGCTAGTATTTACAAACCACATTTGTCTTTATAATCTCACCAGCTAGCTCAAAGCATGAACGGGACCCCAGTCTGACTCTTGTAAAAGCCACATACCATACTGTTATTTTAGGTTCTGAATTAGGGCGGAGTACATGTTGAGAAAAGAGGTGTGTGCGTGTGGAAGGGGTGGTTCTATTCTAAAGACCTGTGATTAACAGCAGAGTCAGTATGGCGGCTGTAGTATTGTGTTAGGCTCAGACCATCGAAACAAAGGGTCTTTGTTGCAGGAGAGGCAGGAGAAAGAGCGTCCAGTCTGCTGCCGGAGCTGACAGGCACAGCCGGGGGTAGGCTGAGTGTGCAGAAGTGTAAAATCACTTCTTGTTTGTACTTAGTGAGCCACCGTATGTACAGCAGCTCTTCACAATGTGAGCACACAGGTGTATATGATTGATGGGACGAATGCATGGCGTCCCAGTATACAAAAAGTGTTTAAATGGTATAGCAGTGTCTGGACTGGTAGGAAAACCTGTGTCAAGACAGGACAACTGGGGGCTGCAGTAGAGGCGCTTGCTCCCAACACAAGTCGAGCTCTGGGATTTCTCTGCTGTCCAGCAAATAGCCAATGAGTTCCTGGATTCCTGAGGACTCGACAAAAGATTCACCACCTTCAGGCTGGGCCTAGAGCTCCTGTCAGTCTCTGTGGAGTTTACAACATCCATCCGTTTTCTAACCACTGTATCCAGGACATGATCATAGGCAAGCTGGAGCCTATCCTGGCAAGCAACGGGTCCAAGGTGGGAAACACCCTGAATGGGATCCCAGTCCATTCGAGGGCACAGACAGACACTCACACCAGGGCCACTTTTCCCAGAAGACAACCTACCATTATGTCTTAAGACTGGGAGGAAACCAGACGTTTACCACTGTGCCATCTGCAGGTCTCATTTCTCCTGGATTCTACTGGAGTTTCACCTGTTCACCTCCTATAGATAAAGTAGGAGATGAAAAAATCCTGTGCTTCCGGTGTGTTCAATCCTTTTGTCTGGAATTCAATTTTTCTGAACGAGCAAACGCAGTCATAACATAGGCCTGGAAAATGCAGTAGGGAGCATGAGATTCCACATCTTTCTCAAAATCTGCAGCTGGGTTGGTCTGTAAGTAAGATCTCAGACTGGCGAGCTGTCTGAGAGCCCCTTTTTCGAAAGGAAAAATGATCCCTTACTTATAAAAGACAATGAAACCGCTGTACTCCACAGCTGAAGATGGCAGGGAGTTGCATTTTTTCCATTCGGCTGAGCAACGGATGCCATCAATTACCACCCAAGCTTTGTTTAGATATTCGTTCACACAGTGTATGTTAATTGATCCTAAGCAAAAGCAGGCTGGAGTACCAGTTTAAACACCACACGCGCCAAGCCAAATAAAAGTTTCAGGGGCAGTAACAGACTGTTAAATAAACTCCATGGGTTGGGAAATATTTGCCTGAACTCTCTCCCAGGGTGCCAATCTCACATCCCTGCCTGTTCAGCAGCTGCTCTTGACAAGTAAACGTCTCTTCAGAGCAGAAGAGCAGGTGTAAACAAGACGAGTGCCTTTAGCTCATCTTGCGTTCATAGCTGCTGTGTGTTGATTTCATTAGACTGCTTCCTGAAGAATCCAAAGGAATCCTGTTCCAGAGCAGTACTGACAGAGGGTTCCAGACCAGGCACCAGGGTGCCACAGTGGTTGGCATTACTGCCTTGCAATGCTGGGGCCCCGGGTTTAATTTCAGACCTGGGTATGTGTGTAGAGTTTGCATGTTCTCCCCGTGGTCCTCTGGGTGCTCTGGTTTCTTCCTGCAGTCCAAAGACATACTGAAAGGTTCATTAGCTTCTGGGAAGACTGGACCTGTTGTGAGTCTGTGTGTGCCCTGTGATGACCTGGCATCCTGTCTAAGGTGTATCCTGCCTTGTTCCAGTTGCTTGCCAGGATAGGCTCAGGCTCCCCCATGACCCTGTATTGGAAGAAGTGGTTGGAAAATGGATGGACGTTCCAGACCCCCACAATATCCAACCATCCTCATCGGACAGCAAAACAAGCAAGTTATTATGAAGTGCGTTGTATATACAACGTTCCCCTTACTCCTGTTGATTGCGTGGGAAACTGTGTCTTGCCCTTGAATAAATCAGATCTAATGTCTGTCTGTGTAAGAGATGCTACCATGTAGCACTACCTCTGACACCTGATCTGTTCTGGACTGAGGTCAGGCCACAGCTGGGGTATCTGAACTTGTGGGAAGAGAATAATGTCAAGGCCCAGACATTAGGGCCACTTCTTCTGGAATTGAAAGTTTTCTTGAGGTTTTCTGTGAGTCAAAACGTGGGCTGTTCTAATATTGAGGGCTGTCAGATTAGTTGTGAAATGGACAAAATGTGTATTGACATGTGTTGTTTCACAACAGCTTGCCTGACTAACCCTGGAGCCCATTCTTTTTTATTTGCTGTGTATTTCATTAAGCAATTAATCAATGAACACATGCATTTCACAACTTTCTTTTTACACCCAGACAGGGATCACACCATCACGTTCATCTGTGTAAAAAAAGTCTGGCATATTTTTGTCCAGTCCCTTCATTGGATTTGGCGTTTTTCTAATCTTATTTCACCAAATAAAGTGACGGAACTTGATTCTGTTCCTTTATTTTCTTTTATCTTTTACTACCATCTCGGGTGCATAAGAATTGTTCAGCGCTGTCTTGATAGCTGCTTTGATAAGGGCGTTTTCACTGACTAGATAAGTGAATCTGCTGTCACTGACAACACTGCCAGATCACAGGCTCCCTGGACTGCAAGTGGACGGGCTGAGGACCCCCTGCCTTCTGGCCTACCCAGACAATACTGGTACACTGGTTAACTCTGGTCATAACATAACCCATAGGGGGCAGCACAGGTTCAAATCTGGACCTGGAGTGCTATCGGTGTGGAGTTTGTATGTTCGCCCTGTGTTCTTGTGGGCTTTCTCCCCCAGTCCAGAGATAGGCTGGTAGGTGTGAGTATAGGATGTACTGTCCTTCGAATGGGATATTATAATCTGACGTCCACACTACTTGGTCATTAATGATCTCTTTCCAGGATCTGTAAGAATAGCTGTGTTGATACTGCTGTCCTGGTGAAATGTCCTCTGGGTCTGTACAATCTGGCTGTCCTGAAGTCACCTCTTAATTCCTCAGGTAAGGCAATGTCTCACCCCTCCATGTGGTCTGCTGTGTGGAATATGTATTGTATAAATATATACAACACTTAGGCCGGTGTGGTGGCTCTGTGGCTAAGGATCGGTGCCTGTGGCTGGAAGGTTGCTGGGTCATATCCTGCAGCTGGCAGAGATCCTACTCCATTGGACCTCTGAGCAAGGCCCTTAACCCCAACTGCTCCAGGGGCGCCGTACAAACGGCTGTAATGTTATAATGCCGAAAACCAAAATTCCATATAAACGTTCATATAGTTAGAATAATTCTCCTAGACTTAATGTGTGCAGTGGTATTATCATTGTATTACTTATAATTCATTAAGATAAGATCACTTTATTGGCCATTTACAATTTCTTGTATTAGGAATTTGTCTTTTCACATACCCCAAGCTTCTCTTCTTGTCTGTGTCTCATGGAGAGCAAGTTGGGGTATGTGAAAAGACAAATTCCAAATATTTGAAATATCTGGTGGCTTGTATGCTGGTTAGTATCATGCCGTGATGAGGAAGTCTGCATTGAAGAACGGCCCTAAAATGATTTCGTGTAAATAATTTTCTCTACATCAAGTAAATATATATAGAGATATCTAGAAATATAGTTTTTAATATAAATGTAATAGGAACAAGTAATAAGTTTATTCCATGCTGAAAAGAGAAGACAGGAAACAATGTTTCAGCTGTGGAGCTGAACTAGTTTTCTATATATCTGATTCACTAAAATGCACAGCTATTGCGGTATAGGCTTCTTATGATTGTCAGAGAGTCTGTGGATGGATTATGTATATAAGCAATGAAATGTGTTTTATTCCTAAAGTTGCCTTTTCCATTTCTTTCCCAAATGCATCGTATTTCCATCACATTTCCATTTCCACTTGATTTAGGAGAGGCAGAGCTGCATTTTTACATATCCATCTCTGCGGCGACTAATCACCTTCAAGTTAGAACACATTACTGATCAAACCGGTTAGGGAAGTGTTATTTTAGAAAATACCTCATGGTGATTGGCGAACTCGAGCCCTACGTATTTCAAAAATAAGTTTGAATTGTTGAAAGTGTCCCCCCCCCCCTTCTTCCCGTCCATAAAAGCACAAACTATCCCACCGTTCAGAATTAAATTCAACCATTATAGGCATCAGTGGAGTAGTCGATCCAGATTTTAATGTGCGCAAGTGCCGTTTAAAGAGGCTTTTAAAAGGAGTTTTAAATGCGTTTCTGCAAGGCGCTGCTCACCCCGGCTCTGGGATAGAGGTTACAGCACCGGTTTAACCAATACCGACACTGGTTCGCTGGTTGTACGGGTTCTTCACCCAATAAAACCCTCTAGCATGCGGAGATTGACTTGAGGACTCGCCAATGAAAACCCAGTGCTGTCGAGCCGCCGTGCTACACGCTCGGTATAAAATGAACATCCCCTCGATGCCCTGACATTGCTGTGTTGGCGGAGACCCGTAGCGCGTCTGTAGTCAACGGAGCTAAGAGAAAAACCTGCAGCCTCTAGACCTAAAAAAAAGCGGTCTGTAAATATTTTTTTTTGGAAACCCCGTGCACTTTTTTTATTTCCCACAACTTTTGCTTTTAAGACACAACCAAAGAAGCAATGGTAAGTAACTTTATTTGTATGTCTGTTTTTCGACCGCACACGTTTGATAGTTTTCGTTCCCGAAAGGCGCCAAAGTTGAACATGTTGCAGTTTGCGCTCCCAGAGTTAAAATGCGAGACTGAAACGGGCAGAACTTGTTGCTGTTACGTCCGTCGGCAATAGCTGCCCGCTTTAGAGGGGGGGAGATGTTTTTTTTTTACTTTGATAAAATGAGCGTAGTTCAGCACGTCTCTGAAATGGAAAGGGACTAGCACGGTCGGGTCAGTGTTCCTTAGCGTTACGGATTATGCAATGATGATTCAGTCAAATTCGCGGAAGCGTTTTTTGGTGCGTCAAAAGAGCTTTTGTAACTTTCTTTTTTTTAAGTACTGCAGGAAAGGATTGTTATAAGATCCACCGCTGGGATGTGTGGGATCTGCCTTAGGAGCCAGCACTTGTCTCTTGTCTTGGGTGTAGTGGACACGGGGGGGCTTAGGAAGGAGATCTGGGTGCAGCGAAGACGATTCCTGGGGGGGTAAAGATCTTTTCCGGGTGCGTTTCAAGTGCTCGATCAAAGTCCGTTCCCTGACACCAGGGTATATGGATTGTGCGTACAGCGATCTTTAGACGACGCTGTAACTTGTGGCCTGGTGAGGGTGGAGGATTCCCGCCACACGTTCTTTGTGAAACGGCACAGATTGGCCCGACTTTCTTGCTCTGAGCACTAAAAAGTGGCGGATTGTCGATGAGCGATCGTTAGGAAAGTGTTGTCGGAGATTAAGAGACTGGGGCGCTCCTTCTGCTGGAAGCGTGTCGCCCCTTTCTCCGGAACAGGCGAATAGCTGGCTCCGATGAGGCCGAAACGTGTCGCAAAGTGTCTTGATAAGTGGCTGCTGTTCCGAGCAAGTCGCAAGTCCAGCATCGGGGGCTGGGATTTGTAGGAGCAGGACGCGGGATGGAACGGGACGTCTAATAAAATAAGACCCGTCCTACGCCGACCACCCATGTCGGAGCTGTGGGATCTCATTGCTTCACCTGCGAGTGATTGATGGCTCATCTGTGAGCGCAAACGCGACTTTGCTCTACGGTCTCTCTCTCCCTCCCCCCACGCCTTCTGTATAAGGCGGTGTCTGGACACGGACGTGTCGGGTTTCACAGATCTGGAGGCTGACTAGCACCGCCAGCTGCCTTCTCTAGGTGGGTTTTACCCGGCGGTCTGACAGCTTGGTGCATCCAAACGAACTTCCTTTATTCGTTTTCCTGTAGATCTGGCCCAATTTTTCACGTTTCTAAAGCTACCTCCTTTGTTAAAAGGCCGACGAGTACGTCCTCGGAGCTCTACAATGTCGGGTTTCTGTATACCTTCTCTCTAGCGACGCTTCTTAAATGTGGTAAACGGATTGTTTAGGCGGATGTGAGGAAAGGTTTAGCAAGTAGAGGCTTTCCACGTAACCAAAATCTAATAATCCGTTGTTTGGAGATCGGAAGGTTGATTTTTACAAGATGGAGTTGATACTCTTAAGTCCGGTTTGGTGGAACAAGCACTTATGTAGATGGTAGTAGTTGGTGCACAGCTGGTCAGAAGTTATTTCCCTTCTTATCCTCTCGAGATCATAGTAATCGGGTTTGATGTCCAAGTAGAAGGCACGGGTTGAATCTGCTGTACTGGAGCAGATTGGCTGGGCGGCTGGTTGATTCCCTCTGGAAGGAAAACCCGGAGTTCGGTGCCCGTTTTTCCTGAAAGCCAGCGGACTCGCTCGCCTTGGCCAGGCCCCTCTGTTTGGCTGTTCTGCCGAGTGCTGGCAGCCCGTTGGAGAAGCTGGCCCCCAATGCACAAGTTAGTTTTAAATGACTTTTCAAGAGTCCACTTAACATGGAAGCCTGCTGGTGAGTTCGCATATAATGTCTGACATGACGCAGGGGGCTTTCTCATTGGAGACTGGCTTGGACGTCTGCGCGCGCCACACTTTACAGAATGCTTTCAGCTCGGCCTTATTTCCTGTCTGGAGGTGTACAGGAAACTGCACCACAGCCACCATTGTCTGTAGCCCTGTGACGGGAGACCTAACCTTGCTTTTCGGAGTAGGAAACGGGCTAGTGCTCTCTCGCTGGACAGCTGCCTGCGACTTCCCAGAAGCCCCGGTCCAGTTCAGCTTTGAAGGTTGTTGTTGGAGCTCGGAAACCGAAGGCCCCACTCCCCACTGACCTTGGCAGCAGGCTGCCTCCCTCGTTAAGCAGCTGCCAGAAAAAACTTCACCTGAGCCATGTTCACACACAGATTAAAGCAGTTTACCCAGAACTTAAGACTTAACTTGCAACCCTGCGGCACTTTAATGTAAAACCAATTGCCCATTAAGGTAGCCAGGCCTGTAAAGAGGACATTCATTCAGGGGTCAGGCGAAGAGAGAACTTGTAGTTTGACAATCTTGGGCCAGGCCCTTCACCGACACTGTCCAGCGTCATGTAGGCGTACAGGGCGCAAGCCTGCTTGATATTGGGGTGCAAAATCTCCCTTCCAGAAGCACACCTGTGCTGACACGCCCTATTTAGCATGAGGACAGGAATTTGGGGTATTCAAATTGCGAAAGGCCGTGCCTGCTTTCCAAATGGAAAAATTTTCTGCAAGCCCATTTAAGTGTCGAAATCGATGTTGTAGTGAGAAATTCTCTTGGCTTCCTGATCTGACTTGCAAGTGCGATTAGTGTACTTAATCCGATCATGGAGGAGAATACTTGGAGTTGTGGGTTAAGATTGGTCACAGCTCTGACTTACAAATGATTTTTTTCTTTTTTTGGTGCTGCTTGTGGTTGTTGCCCTGCCTTTGGCGCTTCATTATAATAAATGACATCTACAGAGCACTTGCCATACAGCTCAGAGTAGAGAATCAACGAGCTTCAGTGTAAACTGGTTTTTAATGTGGCTTTAGCCTTGTAGCAAAATCGTGCTCAAACAGATATTTGGCGTTACTCAACACTGTGCTTTCAGCATCCTGAATGTTTCAATATTGGCAAGAGCTCAGTCTGCGACTCCCACACTTCAGCCATTTGAAGCGGTTTTCTCCTCCTGGCTTTTTCTTTAAGGTGTGTTCTTGAATTTGAAAATCCCCCCCAATTTTAGTTCCTTGGCCTTTAGAATACCTCAGAAATTATCCCTTTTGAACACTGAGCTGAATTACTTATCAGTTTTCCCTAGTACTGCAAAGACCGAACTAAACTGCTCTTGAGATATAGACTTCAGCCGTGCAGGAAGTATTAAGTGTCTTTTATTTCCCACGGATTGATATTACGGCATCCAGCCACTCGCAGCCCCAGGGTGTGGAAGCCATAGATGCACTTGCTGTTGCAGTGCTGTGGCTCCGCCAGCTGGAGGCGCTGTGGCGGTGTTATGATGCTGTTGCTCTCGGCCCGCAGCGAGAGTGCATCTCCATCCACGTGGGCCAGGCGGGGGTGCAGATTGGCAATGCATGCTGGGAGCTGTACTGCCTGGAGCACGGGGTGGGGCCCGACGGCGTGGTGCAGGAGGGGGCCGAGATGGTCAGCTCCCGTCGGGACCCCTTCAACACCTTCTTCAACAACACCAGCTCGGGCCGCCACGTCCCCAGGGCCATATTCGTGGACCTGGAGCCGACAGTGGTTGGTAAGGACCCGGCCTAACGCCCCTGTCTTGTTTCTCTCTGTCCTGCGCCGCCGCGTGTGCTTGTGTAGCGTGAGTGCATCTCCATCCACGTGGGCCAGGCGGGCGTGCAGATTGGCAATGCATGCTGGGAGCTGTACTGCCTGGAGCATGGCATCCAGCCCGACGGCAATATGCCGAGCGACAAGACCATTGGTGGCGGGGATGACTCCTTTAACACTTTCTTCAGCGAGACGGGCTCGGGAAAGCATGTGCCCCGCGCTGTGTTTGTGGACCTGGAGCCTGCGGTCATTGGTGAGTCTGCTGGGGACAGGGAGGACTGGGGGGTGGGCGGGGGGGGTGGAGAGGTCCCAGGAGTCCTGGGACGGTGTTGCTTGGGTGGTGGGCTCAGGCCTGGGTAGGGGGTGAGCAGGCTTGAGCGAGCATCGCTTTTTCCAGCTGAAAACGCCTTTTATTTTAAAATAGCTGATTGGGGGTGACCATTTGGATATGAAATTGCCCCCCCCCAGCCCTGCTTAGCTGACTAATTACAGACTTGAAAGCAGAGCTGTGGTCTTTAAATTGAAACCTACCCTGTTTTTCTAGGGGTCCTCCCTGTGTAGGGGCACACAAACAAAATGTGTTAATCAGTCTTAAAATGATTCAGATGTCTTTCTCGGTGACTAAACCAATACCTAATTGCCTAGTTAAATTATAAATGCATTTGGCTCCAATTGATTTGTGTTGCATATTTTTATTCAAGCTTGTATGGAGCTTGTTTGCGCATATTGTGCATTTACAGGCCTGTCCAGCGATTTGCCCTCCGTTCCACTTGAACAAAGAACAGTCTGTACAGTGACTCCTGAGGGCCGTCCCCGTCTCTGTACATTACTGTAACACGCAGCAGCTCAAAGAGCTTCATCTGCCGCCTACAAACAGCAGCTAGTGGATGACTTGATAAAATCTTTCCCTGTAGATAAGACTTCTGCCCCCGCCCCCAAAGTCCTTCATGCTGGACTCGTAATCAAATATTCATTACTACTTTCGTGCTGTGTTTTCTGCTTAACTAAAATGTGGCTTGGAAGAAGCTGCCATGTTTGTCTTAAATAAAAGGTAGCAGCAATCCAGGCAGTGCATGTACTTAATTTCAGTATTGCAAATGGAAGGAAGGGTAACTGCATGAAATACTCTTATTTTGAGCAACCCACCTCAGACCTCCAAGTGTGGGGGTTAATAGACAGGTGCCTGTGGATTGGACTAAGGGGCTGGGACTCTTCTTGATGGGCTTGTTCCACCTCTGTAATGTTGCGGAACAAGGCTGGGGCAGTCATTTCTGGTTCTGAACCCCACTTGCATCTGCTTGGTCTCTTCTGATCAGCTCTCCTGAAAATCCAGCTCTTTGCATCAAATTCTCATTAGTATGCACATGCCTCATTCATAATGTAGCTTGCAGTGTGCTTTACTGCAGGACCTTAAAGTATTTATTTTGTTTCTCCAAATTAGGAGAAAGTACCAGCAAAAACTTTAGAGCAAAGCAGGAATTGGAGACCTGATGTTGGTTTAACCTCATGATTGCTAAACTGTCTGCCTATAGAACAGTCTGTAATCCTCAAACATTTACCGAAGTGCCTTTTAAACCTTGGCAGACACTGCCAAGACATGTTGTTTCCTGCTGAAAGCTTGCACTGTCTCCCACAAAGAACAGGTTTCCAAGTTCCGTGAATGACTGCCGTCTTTCCAGAGAGGATTTTGTCACGGATGACAAGTGTCCCTGTTGTGCAAGAGGAGGCAGCCCATGAGATCAGCCTCCACAGGCTGATTCAGTTAAACTTTTTTGTCGTGCTGAGGGCTTGATCCTCTTTGCCACTGCCTAGAAGACTGGGGGGAAATGTACCTGTAATCCTGTTCTCCTGTGGAAAGACACTGCAGAGCTTTTAGCTGCCTTCTCTGAAGGCTTTCCCATCAGGCCCTGCTGGTGTCGGAGCAGTGCAACATGGGATTGTGAAGATGCACTGAAGTTGCTGAGGAGGTTGTAACTTTTGTTTTTTTTCCCCCCTCCTAGATGAGGTCAGGACTGGGACATACAGGCAACTTTTCCACCCTGAGCAGCTCATCTCTGGGAAGGAGGATGCTGCCAACAACTATGCCCGTGGGCACTACACTGTGGGGAAAGAGATCATTGACCTAGTGCTGGAGCGTGTCCGCAAGCTAGTGAGTAAAGCCCAGAGGAGCGGGGACAGATTGTTTTGCAAGTATGGGCAGGGGGACGTCAACTACAACACTCTTGGGGCATTGGCTCTCCTTTCAGACCCCGCTGTGGATTTTAGCCCATGTTCTGGGACAGGCTAGCTACCTTCCACGTTAGCCCGTCCTGCAGCCAGAGCCATTCTGCTTCAATGCTGAACGAAGCTTTGAGTTTAGGAGTGTGGTTTGCTTCATTGACTAGTCAAGAGTGCACACATTCCACATGCAAGTGCTGTTTTTTTTTGTGTAGAATTTCTTGAGCCCCTCTCATACATGAGACTGGTTTCTGGCTCTTTGCATTGGGAGAGTTTCGGCAGAAGCGAGCCAAGCTGGGTTTGACTTTAATGAGCCTGGTGGGGTTTGAGTCTCGACTGGCCAGGGCTCGTCTTGGAGCTGCAGGCCAGGGGAAGGGAGCAGGAGGAAGAGGAGGAGGCCTGGGGCTCTTGGCACTCCGCCACCATGCAGGGCCGAAGCTCGGGCACGTTCACCCACACATTGTCTCTTTCTCCTCAGTCGGACCAGTGCACCGGCCTGCAGGGCTTCCTCATCTTCCACAGCTTCGGCGGCGGCACCGGCTCGGGCTTCACCTCCCTGCTGATGGAGCGCCTCTCGGTGGACTACGGCAAGAAGTCCAAGCTGGAGTTCGCCATCTACCCGGCCCCCCAGGTGTCCACGGCTGTGGTGGAACCCTACAACTCCATCCTGACCACCCACACCACGCTGGAGCACTCGGACTGCGCCTTCATGGTGGACAACGAGGCCATCTACGACATCTGCCGCCGCAACCTGGACATCGAGCGGCCCACCTACACCAACCTCAACCGGCTCATCGGCCAGATCGTGTCCTCCATCACCGCCTCCCTGCGCTTCGACGGCGCCCTCAACGTGGACCTGACAGAGTTCCAGACCAACCTGGTGCCCTACCCCCGCATCCACTTCCCCCTGGTCACCTACTCGCCCATCATCTCGGCCGAGAAGGCCTACCACGAGCAGCTGTCCGTCTCCGAGATCACCAACGCCTGCTTCGAGCCCTCCAACCAGATGGTGAAGTGTGACCCCCGCCACGGCAAGTACATGGCCTGCTGCATGCTGTACCGCGGGGACGTGGTGCCCAAGGACGTCAACGCTGCCATTGCCGCCATCAAGACCAAGCGCAGCATCCAGTTTGTGGACTGGTGCCCCACCGGCTTCAAGGTAAGTGCTGCACCTGCCCTTTCTGGTGAGTCTACCAGCTGCCCCGAATAACCACTGCCAGGCACTGGGGTACTGTCTGTGGAGTTCGCATGGTTTCCTCTGGGTACACTGGTTTCCTCCCATAGTTCAAAGATGTACTGGCAGTGCCCCTGCCCTGCAGTGGACTGGCATCCCATCCGGAGTTTATTCCTTGTCTGTTGCTTGCCAAGGACAGTCTCCAGCTCCTCTGTGAGCCTGAATTGGAAGAAGTAGTTAGGACACAGATGGCTAAACCCCTCTCAGAAGTGTGTAGTCTTTGCTCCTCGGGTTTCAAAGCAAAGGCTGAACCCGTCCCTCACTTGCCATGGGTGATGCCCACCCATCTAAGCCTGTCTGGTACTTGGTAGTTAACTGATCTTCTCTAGTCTTGTGAAGCCAAGCTGTTGGCTTCCACATCGTGGCTGGGCAGCTTGCTCCACCCTCAAACCTCTCGTGAGAGCGCGCTGCAGGTGTGAGTGATCGGATCCAAAGAGGCTCTCCCCCTCTTGTCTCCTAGGTGGGCATCAACTACCAGCCCCCCACGGTGGTGCCCGGGGGCGACCTGGCCAAGGTGCAGAGGGCCGTGTGCATGCTGAGCAACACCACCGCCATCGCCGAGGCCTGGGCCCGCCTGGACCACAAGTTCGACCTGATGTACGCCAAGCGCGCCTTCGTGCACTGGTACGTGGGCGAGGGCATGGAGGAGGGCGAGTTCTCCGAGGCCAGGGAGGACCTGGCGGCGCTGGAGAAGGACTACGAGGAGGTGGGCACGGACTCGGTGGAGGGCGAGGAGGAGGGGGAGGAGTACTGAGCTGGCACAGCCTGAGCCCCCTCCCCCCGAGCGCAGGACCTCCAACATCACGACGAGCACTTCCTTCTCCCTGCTGTGTCCCCTCTCGAGCCTGTCTCCAGAGCGTCTCTTGACCGTTTCGTCCTGATATTTGTGTTTTTGCAGCTGCTGAATAAAGTCTTCTTGTAACATCGATCCTGAGCTGTTCAGTTTTTAATGCCGGAGTGAAGGGGGGCGAGTCTGGTTTGGGGTTTTGTATGTGGATAAGGGGTCTGTCCACTAGTCCCACTAGTGACCAGTATTCCACCAATTGTAAAACTTTTCAGTCTGGCAAACTGGAACTGAGGCGATTTTCATTGCAATCGGTCCAGTGGTGACTGAGCTGGGCTTGGAGCACAGCAGTCTGGCTCATCTCCACAGGAAGGAGAATTTGTGCAGTTTCAGTTATTAAATCCTCTTTTAATTGATGCACAAGTCAACAGCTCAGTATCCACTCTTGAACTGACTGGATCGACTTTTGTTCATCACAAAGCTTGAAAAATCCTTAAAGGGGGGGGGGGGTGGATATTGCCTCACCACTACGGTTCAGGGGACTGTGGCGTACTGTAGTTACTCTAAAAGTCTGTCCTGTTGAATTGCGGTGTGAACTACCCCCACGCTCTTGCCATGGGAAGGATGAGTTCCCGTTTTTTTTTAACGCGTTTCCTCCTGAGGAGAGGCCGTCACCATCGGCTGTGTGGATTTACGTAATCGCTGTATGAAGGTCGTGCACAACCATGAACTGCCTTTTTCCGGATTCTCGATGAGCTGGCAGGAGACTAATTCCGGAATGGTGGGATTTTAAATTGCATTATCCACTGCGGATGAATGTCTGGATACTGGCTGCACGGAACGTGCTTCGAGTGTCCCACTGACGCCTGAAACTTGCGACGACTTTGGATGCGAGATTAACGAGCTGTAAAGGTTGTTTTTCTTTTTTTTTCGCCGATAAAAGGTTTCAGAATACGAGAGCAGGGAGTAAAGCAAAAATAATTCGAACCACAGCCCCCCTTTCCCAAACCGGAACTTACTATTCGCACCGGTGTACGTGGAGTGTGCAAACTTGCTCAACATTACAACCGCACCGCAGCAACAGGGCTTCGTCGGTAATGATAGTAGTGTAACGCTTACGGCCGACAAGCACTGTGTAAGAGCCGGCGTACCAGAGCGGGTGACGTCACCGCCCTTCCCTGTGATAGCAGGACTACAGCTACTGGGCTGTAGAGAGGTCTTTCTTTAGCTCACGGGGCTGGGTCGCTGCAGAGAGACGCGGAAGTCCCGGGTTCGAGCCTCCAGTCGGGATGGGGCCGACCAGATGCGGCTAGGGCGCCCGCCTGAGCCCCGGTTGCGTTACAGTAGCATATTCTAGCGGAAAACGCTGCACAACTCCCTGGAGGCTCCTTTCCTGCGGTAAGGGTGACATTCGGTCAAATGCAACTGAGGCCTTGGCCTCAGGATGTGGTGATCACACACGGACCTGCAACACCGGGGTTCTGACATCGGAGAGCCCGCCACGTGATTGGGATCTCGGGATCTGAGACTCGTGGGTGCCATCTGACGTTTTCATGCAACGATTTCCTGGCGTCGGCCATATGCAGCGTTTGTACAGCTTTGGCAAAAAAAAAACATTTATCCGGGCTGATCTGCAGTTTGCAATAAACCTCGATTAATAAAGTACAGAGGTACAGGGAATAATACCCTTAAGTGAAAGACCGCGGCTATTGCACAACCTATACTCCTGTCCTGCCACGTGGACAACGGTTGCATCCGCCCCCCACCTTTATGTAAATATCCGTGGCATTAGTCAGTCACGCTAGCAACAACCATTCTCCCTGTAGTGAGCCTGCCTATTAACCCCCAATGGCGATCACCCCTTCAGACACGTTGTGTCTCTAGGGTTCTAGGGTTGTTCTCTAGAGCCGCTGTGTTATAACCGTCATTAACGCGGCGAGGCGCCATCAGTTTAGAGAAGAAAAAAACAAATGAGAAAGAGCAGCGGATTTTCTTTCCACTGAAAGCCGGGCGATCGCAACAGAGGCGAGAATGTTTCGGTGATGTTTTGTCATGAATGTATAAAAACGTGTTAACAGAGGAAGTGGATGATAGTTTTGGGGTGATAAGCGTCATTTATTGTTCGTTTGTATCTTTTTTTTAAATATCACTTTGTATATCAAAACTTGATAGGCTACTTGCAGCGCTGTTATTTCCCGGAACAGCTACAGCTGGGGAAGTAGTATCTCCTCTGACAATGCGCGTCCTCCAGTTGGGTTAATTTAATGTGAAATACGTTGATCATTCGCCTTCACTCATAACAAATGCATGGGTGCTGCGATCGACTTTTTAAAATCTCTTTAGGTTCTGCGCTGCGTGCATTCGTCTGTCGTGTCCTGGCGGTATGGTGTTTCATAGGTGTCAGTTTCCTGAACAAAAAACGTGCTCACGCCGTTATCAAGAAAGGATGACAAATCTTTGTTCCAAGACATTCACAGTCTTGGAATCTCGGAAGCATCGCGCTCCCACTACAGTGCTGTCGCACAGAAAAGACATTCGCAGCGCAAGTAACGGTATATTTTGTATAAATTGACGTGGTATGAATTTCACCTTCCGGCGAGCCGACGCGAAGAGACACTTTTCTCCTGTCTCTGTGTAAATTGATTAGCTGTGCGTTTTGCGGGTAGCAGATTATTCGTGAGCTACGTGCTGGCCCTGAACCTGTCCATGGGTCTCCGGCTGGTTGATGCTGAGGGGTCCCTCGAATTCAAGCAACCGCAGGAAGTGGCTCCGTACACAGACTTGGCCCTGCTCTTTTAGCAGTGGTCGCTAAAATCCGAAAACTGTATTTAAAAAAAACAACAAATACTAGTGTCCTCATCAATATGCTTTTACGCTTTAATACGTAGGTGCCGTGCAGTTGTAAGACTTAACTTAAAGGCTGAAAGAGTTTTATAGCGCCGCCCCGAGAGGATGGGGAAAAAGAGTCTTGGCCGGAGAGACATTTAATCCCCACGATGAACCTTAAGGGAGGCGTTTAAATATACTGCTTTCAAATGTATCCTTCCTTTTTTCTCCTCGCCTGATTATATGACTTCTAATTCTAAGGTGAAGTATCTTATGTAATGCGTACTGTACGAGATACTTTAAATCCTAACGCTTCAGGTTTTCATAGTTCCGTTATTTACATGTACCTATTTCTTTCTACAAGCGCTGTAAAGGGGGTAAATCAATACAATTGGGAGATTGTGATGGATAATAAATACCCCTTTAAACGCTGTGAAAAATGTAAAAGTTTTTACACCTGCTGGCCACAGAGATGGTACGGAAAGACGTCATATTTGAGCTGCCCTGCAGACGCGACGGGTTTGTGGCACAACGCCAAGCCCAAAATGGAGTCGGCACGAACACAAAGTATGAGTATATAAACGGAAATAAAATGTATAAGAAATGTCCTGTCTATTAAATATGTGTTCTTACGTTTGAATTATTTTGAGTAAAAAGTACAAACCTTTTTTTTTTAAAGAAATACCGGTCAACTGAAAATATTACGGCGTCGAGTTTCGCAGCTGAAACAATGCGTTTTATTCTTTCTCCTGCGTGGAGTCAATTTAGAATTAATCTCTAAACTGCAGAAATGTTCGGATGAGCACAACAATTGTTGTCAGCTGTTGAAAGTTCGGTTTAACGATACGGGGGTGTTATTTTAATGTACTTGAATGGGATTGTGATCAAGAAGTGAGAGGAACGATCACACCCGAGTGGGTTTTCTCTACAGAGTCAAAACCCGTCGATCTGACCGAGTAAGACGGTGTTTAATCTTTCAGTGTCCTAAAGAACAGTGCAACCGGCCGGCCGGCAAAACGTACTCGCATAAGTAGGCAGGGGAAAACGACGCATCTCCCGGCCATAAGCCTGCAAACCAGTCGCCTCCGCTTTCCCTTCCAAGTGAAGGAAAAATTTAATTGGAAACTTTTTTTACGAAGCGCTACAAGTAAAACAACAACAGCAACAGAAGTGATTCGAAGGGCGTGACCCCCGTAGTTTTCTTTATTGGAAACTCGAGTGAACTTTCCGTGTTCCTGTTTTACTGTACTGCTGTTGTGTTGAGTCATAAAAACGCGATGTTGTAGCGCACTTTGTGGTAATACCTTGTACAGCCTTCCGCAGAATACCTGTTACTCTCCGTTTCACAGTAGAAGAAATCATGTTTCGCATTTTGAGACTGATGTTTTGAACTAGGTGTTATCGTCTCCATATCCATTGTGTGTACACATATCAAGGTTGCTGTTTAGACTGTGAAAGGGCTTTGTGTATTAAGAGACAGACGTATAATCAGATTATAAAATCACATGATATGGTACAGAGGCTTGAACCTGCTTCATATTCAGGTTAATTAAACCCACTCCTCTTCGTCAGGCATGGAGATAAGTTGATGTGTGATCGCGCCCCGGTCTTTCTCGTGTTTTATCCTGCTTAAAACACCATTGTCTCGCCTGCATGTGTCCTTTCGTCTTCCTCTTTTCCTTTGGGTCCTCTTTGCGATGCTTCCAATAAACTCATCAATCAAAGGATAATTGAACACACCGAGTGGACAGTCACCTATTGAACCCGTTGTACCTACATAAACAGCGTCCGTGTGGCGGACGAATTGTAGCTGACCTCCACCCTCGTTTGAAATCTGGTAAAAGTTACCCTAATTAACGAGAAAGGTAGGAAATTCGGGGTCACCGTTTGAGAAGGTGGCTTTCCGGGTCCCCGACTTCATGCTTAACGAGGCAGCGGCCGTTAAGATTCAGGGTGTGAGTGAGCCGGGGGGTACTCCGGTACTCCGGTACCCCGGAGCACGTTTCCTATTTTCACAACACTTCCAACTTCAAGTAGCAGTGTTTCGCTTTACTCGCAGACGAAAATGCCTTTTTTTAATATTCATTACAGTAAAACAACCCCAGTTTTTCACTCCATGGTAGCACCTGATCATGTACAGACAATTTCGTTTTTTTTTATGACAGCCACAGAACTGACTTGATACAAGAGGTTTCGTGCTGGTCCATGTTATGAGTTTTGTGTCACAGGCTGCCAAATTGAGACATTTATGAGGCAGATTTAAGCATACATGAGTGTTTATATTGTAACGCAACGGGGGCTCAGGCGGGCGCCCCCGTTGCGTTACAATATATATATATGAGTGTTTCTGTTAGGTTATAGGGCGAAATATGGTGAGTATTTCGATGTGGATGTTTCGGACAACGGCGGTGTGAGCTCGTTGAAGGACAATTTTTTAAATCGTCAGGGAGCGTCTTTTCTAAAGACGTTACGTGTCCAAGATAAAACTTAAGGGTTCATTCTTTTCGTTTTTTTTTCACACGGAAACGAAGTGTGAATCCTGACCAGTCTGTGTTTTACACATTGTTCCTCGCAGCTTCCTGTTTTGTTGGTGGGTAGTACAGTATTCGCCTATTTTTGGATCTTTGCCTACCTTGTACGTCGGAGGCGTGACCTTATTTTGTATGCAAGTTTTTTATTTGTATAAATCGCCCCTTTATTAAACATGCACTGGAGGGAGGGGAAACCCAACGCACCTTCATGTTGACTTCTGTAAGACAAAAAAAACAAGACAACGTGTTTTCATATTAGGTGCACGTTGTATTTTTATTCCAAACCTTCATTTCGACTTTTTTTGCTTTTAACAATGAATCTCGCCCAAACCCCTCCCTTCAGCTCCCCCCTCCTTCTTGAGCTGCGCCCTATCAGCAACTCCACAGAGTCTATTTAAAGAGCGAGTTCCGGCCACCGTGAAGCTGTCAGCTGAAGCGTATCCCTCCGCCCAAGTAAACATTAATGGCAAGCGCTCAGACTTGTGTTGTGCCCATTCTTTGTAAAAAAAAATAGTTGGTTGAATTTGGGTGTTTTTGTCACTGAGCTGTGGAAGGCATCTACATTTTCAATTTTCATAAACCCAACGAGTTAAGCGCATTGTTTCCCACTGTGCTTTTGTGGTAAAGTATGCAGTGGGGGAATTTTAAGAAGGTTATGCATTTAGATTGTCGTTAGGTATTCCATAACAAGGGTTTATTCAAATTGTTCCTCCGCCTTGTTCCAGGCGTCTGGCCGGCCGTTTTGAAGTCTGTGCTTGGTCCCTGAAGACGATGCAATCTGTGGGGAAATGTCACCAAATGAATTATGGAGGATTTAAAAAAAAACGGCAGTACCGTCAGTCAACAGTAGAGTTGGGCAGTTTTGAAAAGGAATGGGGTGTCGTGGGATCTAAATTGACCAAAGTCATGGCCGAAACGTTAAAGCTAGGGCTGTAAAAACAATAACAACGACATGGTCATTTCCAGACGGCTTTTCGATAAACGGCTTGTTTCGCTTATTTTTTGTTAAGAATTAAGCACTTCATCAATAAAATAAGAACTGGTCCTTGGTCTTTGTGTTCCCGGGATGTCTGGCACGGTAGTGGTGGCGTCCATATTTGAAACGAACAGGGAACATGTCGGGGTTTTATTGCTGTACTTCAGTCATTTGGTAGTAAAAACGCGATGTTAATCCACACAACACTCGAGTTTCCTGTTCACACACGGGACAATTCATTAAACGGTGCAAAGAAAAGAACACCGAAGGCGGAAGATTGACAGACGTAGAGAATAATATTTCAGTTTTTCTGCTCTCTGTGTGTCTAAGAATTGTATATCGTAGCATTTATAAATCTAGTATTTTAAAGAGCTTTGGAATACAAGACGAAATGATGTTCAAGATAATATGTTCGTGAAGCAGACACTTTTATATAAAACCTGGAGATATTACGCAGAAATGTGGAATAGTCTAAACTGCTTTCCTGAACTTGAAATGGTTTTTTCACATTTGCAGTCTAAAAATTAAATGTTTTTTTTAATCGACGATCCAATTAAGCACCCTTTTCCCGGGATATCTGGCCAAGAAATAAGTAAATAAATCGATGGCTCGTACACGATCGAGGCCAAATTGTGAGAATTGCAGGGGACTAGTTGCCGTGGCGGAGGTGGCCGGCGCCTAAGCGCAGGGCTCTGGCTGTGCGCGAGTGTGTGTGCGCGCTGGAGAGCGAGCGTCGGCGAGTACCCAGCGAGTTAAAGGGAAGAGCAGTTGCCGGAGAGTCGGTGGAGCAGACGGTGGATTACGGACAGAGCTCGAAACCAGCGCAGTTTGGATCTGGGTTAATAAGATCGTCAAGGGTTCGAATTGTTCCTCAACCTCCCTTTCCTTCCCCCCCCCCTTCAATATCCTCCTCCTCCTCTCGCCACCGACACCCCCCGATCCTGGGAACCGGACCCACCATGATGACCCAGCCGCGGCCCGACGAGTTCATTCCGCCCCCGGAGTGCCCGGTCTTCGAGCCCAGTTGGGAGGAGTTCGCCGACCCGTTCGCCTTCATCAACAAGATCCGGCCTATCGCCGAGAAAACGGGCATCTGCAAAGTCCGCCCGCCGTCGGTGAGTGCGGTCAAGAGAGGTCCAGCGGGCCCCCTGGAGAAAACGCCGTAGTCCTTCACTTTTGTCATGTTTTAGTGGTGTATGTTTGTTTGTGTGTGCGGGGGGGGGAGGGGGAGGTTTTTTTTTACGTGCATTTGTTTTATTTTTTTAAGAAGTTTTCAATATGGCGGCTCGGGGCTTCAGGGAAGACGGTTCTTTGTGTGTGTGTGTGGTTGCGAAGAGATTCTGACACAACACAGGGACACCAGCCGAAAAAAACAGTTGCCCTACTTCTCTTTACACACCAGGGAGACAAAAAACACGTCCGTGAGCTTCAGGGGAGCTTTATAGTTGCATAAATGCAAACTGATGCCGTGTGCTTTTTTTAAAAAAAAGCCCCCTTTTGCTTTCCTGAAGTATTAATGGGTAAACCCATTCAGTTCCAGACCTCCTTTAAATGTCTTAGCTGCGAGTTTGAATAGAAGCCCCCCCCCCCCACCAGTAATAATAAAAAAAGAAACTCAAAACTGTGCTGTCGACGGATATTCACTAAGACACCCAACAGTTCTGGCTGCTGGCGTTACAACTTTCAGTTGCACTGCCGACTAGTCAACGGGTTTCCCCCCCGTCCTCGATTATCGATCCTGGGTGGTTCAAAATCAAAGCCCTCGACGGCCTTTTCTTCCGCTGCTCCTCCGTTTACCTGCCCGGGCGCTGTTACTGTCGTTATAACCCTGAAAGTGTCTAAAAATCCGGGATGAAGTCGCCTCGACCCGAGCAGGCGACGTGGTCGAGTTGCTGCTCATGCTCATTAGCGACGGGACGCCTCGTTTCTGGACGGCTTTAACGAGCGAAGCCCTCGCCTTCTTGCTCCCCGGTTTCTATGGGAGGGGGAGACGGAGGTGGGTCGGTTGTAAGCGGGGCAGCTCCCGGAGAGGAGCTGCTTGTGTGCAGGGAGGAGGTGTCGTGGGGCCGGGCGACAGTCCGTGGAAATCCGAGCTGTTCGGTTCCGTGACGCCGGGGGGGAAGAAGAAGGAGGGGGAGCGGGGGGAGAGAGGGTGTTAATCGTCCGAAAGTTTGAGTCCTTCCCCACTCGAGCCCGGGGGTCGGGGGCCGCGGAGAGGCGACCCGGGCTCCGGCCGGCGTGTCGTGACCTCCGCGCCCCCGCAGGTCCGCCGTTGCCCGGGGACCGGAGCGCCTGGGCCGGGTAGCTGGCTTGGGAAACCCCGGCGGCCTCCGTTCTCCCCACGGGGAAGTGTCTCTGTAGGGGGGGGGGGTGTCTTTTAAAACTCGGTTTCCTTTTTTTAAAAAAAAAACTGACGACGAGCGGACAATTAAACGTGCATCGCCACCTATTCTTCTAATCGGTTTACGTCAACACTGAAAAAATGGGTCAGAAATGTTCTTAATCCCTCCTACTCCGGTGTTGTTTGTTTCCCCAAACTCGACATGTTCGCTGCCCTTCGGGGCCGAGCAGCTCCTGGGGCTCGCCCGCGGGCCGGGGAGAGCTCGGGCCGTGGCGTGCAGCGTGATTTGCGGTGTGGATGTGCTGTTTTTCGGGGAATGGAGAAAGTTGTGTACTCCGGAGGAGTGATCGGTACGTGTGATCTCTCACGCAGGAGCCGGATTCTCCTCGGTGACTCATGATCGAACCGACTAGGAAGTCAAATTTAAAAACATTTGCCTCCCCCTTTTTCAATTGATGTTCTTATGTTTATGTCTATTTTTTTTTAAAAAAAAGGCACCGGAACAGAAACGCAAGCTTTCACTCGTCAGATATCAAACGATATCAAATATCAAGCCCTCCCCCCACCCCCCCCATATCTTTCTATCCCGGTTCTTCGTAAAAGCACAGCCCTTTTAACGCGTTTTGTTTTATTTGGATTAGCAAGTAAATTGACTTGAGATGAAGCATTGTGTTATTTAAATAACATTGTTTCTAACGCCACATGTCAAATTTATATTTATATGTAAATTTTGTACCATATGGTAGTTCGTAACCACGTTTCTTTCGTTTTATTTATTTTTTGGATCTAAAAAGGTCCCGAGTTTCTTAGTGCATGTATGATTCCCCTCCTTGAAAAATTAACTTAATTACGTGTAAGAAACTTAATATTCAGCAAATACACCTAACAGGCCTGTTTCTTGGGTGTTGTCCTCCATGTTGGCTTTGTGGTTAGCAGGGGCTCTGGACTGCTCCATCTGGGCCATTTTGTGAGACTACACTGGGATTATTGTGGAAGAATTAAAAGATGTGGATTAAGGGTTTATTTATTTATTTATGAATTACCACAGCCTTTAAGGCTGGCCTCAGAAATGCTTATCTTTGAATCCAGTCGTTTCTTTCAATTGGTGTAGAACTGGTGTGCTTTCAAACATGGCCACTGTAAAAAAATAAATAATTCTTCCACACGTCTGCACCATCAACACTCACCAAGGAGAGAGAGAACCACTGTCTCCCCCCTGATACCCTTGCCCTACTGAGAGCCATCCTCATAATGATCACTCCGTATTTTGTTTGCACCCTTAATTTTCGACACATTCTTGTGTAACAAAAACAAAGAAGGGGTTGTGTGTGCTGTAAATCCTCTTTTCCTCTGCTTTGGGACGTTGGCTTTGAATTTAAAATAAAAGGAAAAAATACTAGTTTTTCCATTGTGAAGTGTTTTTTGATGTATTTTAACAGAAAAGAGAATAGTTTGTCATTATGTCATGTTCTTACTCCTTTGAAGTATGTAACGTGCAAATTATAGTTTTTTTGAGGATAGTTTATATTAAGTGAGGAAGAGGGAAGCATCCGATCCCATTTTGTTGTTCCTGTCTTTAGGCACATTTGCGGGATCAAATATTTAGCTAGTGATAGTCGTTACAGTTATTTAATGTGTGTGGGGGTGTTAATTCTCAGGGGGGCTTGGCTTCTTAGCCATTTCTTGTTTTAATCCTGGTGAAACGAGCTAAGGATTGTACAAGCCTGCGTATATGATGATGTTACTGTACGATTTATGATGCACTGTACTATAGATTGTGATGTAACCCCACCCTCCATTTCAGAAACCAATTAGTCTGCGATGATTTAGTTTTAAGAACATTCGGGGAGATCCAGTGCCGTCATTGTCTGAATGGTTTTGCTTGTGGCAGGGCAAAGCTATGAGAGGTTTCAACTACATATGGAGAGCTGTGTCGGATTATTTAAATTCCGAAGGCCTTTTTGTAGTTTACAGCATTTCCTTACAAATTAGAGAGAACAGTACTTTGCAGTATACTGGTGTTAAGTAAATAATACTTGCCTCTTTTTTTACCTTGGTTGGATTCTTTGGTTGAAAAATGTACTATACCGGTGGTCTAAATGTGAATATTGTAAAAAAAAAAAAGACATTGCATTGTTTATAAAGCTATGAATTTAAAGAAGTTTTTTGGGGTTTTGTGTGAAAGAATACAGAATGTGCGTATCTTATGGCTCACTGGTGTGGTCACCTATGAAAGCACAGTGACCGTGTTAATAACATGTTTACGCCAGTGTATTGCTTTTACTAAATATGTGAACAGTCTCTAATGTATACAGTTTATTGCTAATAGTCATATTTGTGTGATTCGTAACTCCATTTGTGTGATTTGCCTACTTCCTCCAGTTTGAAGCGTCTTTCAGAGTGCCCCCCAAGGTAAAGCAGCTGCTAGAGAAAACGATCAGATCAGTTGGATTTGCGAGTAACAGGCCGGTTTCACTACTGCGCCCTTTATGTGCATCCTTGCTTCAGTTAAGTTACTGCTGTGGCATGAGGCTCTACAAAGATACCTGCTGTGTTTGGGTCACTGGAATCATTTTGTAAAAAGTAGGCTTGAGCTGTTGGCGTAGTTGGTTTCGTAGACCCCCCCAGCACTACCTTGAGTGTGGCCCACGGTGTGGCGTGGAGTCGGGGGGCTCCCTGTCAGCTGTGCCCAGCTTGTTCCTTCACCTCGTGGTGTTTGCCTGAACTCGGGGTGTCTTCGGTTTTGGTTTTGGACCGTATGCATAGACGCTGGTGCATCGGGTGTTTAACTGTGCAATTTTTAGCATTTGACATCTTTAGTCTAAAAAGAAGAACTCGGAGACTTGGGAGGAGATAAGTAAGAGTGTAGGTTGTGTGTGACAAAAGTTGCACAAGGACTTGACAAGGAAATGTTTTTTTTTCCACCCTATCATTACAGTATGTCGCTTGAAAGTCCAGAGACATACTGAAAAGTTATTTGTTAGTGCCGAAGGAGCTGGATTATGATGTCCAAAAGGGACAGTGGACAGAATTGCCTCCGAGGTCTTTTGTCAAGCTCAGCAGGTGCCGTTTCCGAGTAATGCCTGGAAATGACACGGAAATATTCTGAGGGTAAAGGTGTTTTGGATTTGCATGGGGGTTGTGGCTGTGCAGGAAACCTGCCCAGCTGTTTTCATGGCTAAGCTGTAACTGCTGCTCATCAGTGCCGAGGCGTGTTCAGTTTGTTTTGGCCAATTGGTTTGCTTTTGATCAAATGAATCTGACACCATGGGTCGAAGTTTTGAGGTGATCAGCAGCTGGCTTTTTTTTTCTGCCCTTGTGCCAAAGTTTCGGTCCTGATGCTTCACAGTCCTTGTTAAACCCATGCAGCGTGGTGCCAAAGTGTTATTTTCAATTAGCTTGACACAGAGAAGGAAGGCCAGAGAAACTAGTCGTGTAACTAAATACCGAGGCAAGATCAGCATTTTGGTTCTAAGATAGTGCAGCACTGGCATCAGGCATCACTTTCACTCCGCCAGGCTTGATTGTAAAATGAAATGAAAAAGAAGTGTTGATCTGCCCTTCTTGGCTGCCTACTGAACCCGTTGTTATAATCAGGATATTATTTGGACTCAACTTTCAGCCGGGTTGGGAAAAGATGAAGTGACCGTGGCTTGCTTGCTGATACACAGTGAAAGCTCAACAAGGAAGAGTTAAAGGTCTTGCAGGCTCTAGGAAACTGTACATGACTATTCATCATCACAAAGTTCTTTATTCCTACTAAATAGTTTCAAA